ATTCAGAAACGGTGATGGAGAAATACCACTGCAAAATCACCAGTGTGATTTCAGTGTGTGTGCACATTTTTTTAAAATCAACCATTTGAAGTTTGAATCTCTTCATTCCAGAAGTTATCTTTGAAGTCTGATCTGCTGGCCCAGCAGGCAGTGTGACTGACATTCTTGTGCCAGAGAACCTCCTGTATTGCTGGTGGGAATGTCAGATTTAGATCAATGAGTATTTATGGAAAGTGCCATCTTTTCTCATTCCCAAAAGTATTTCCTGCATCTTGTTCCATTGCTCCACAGTTTCTTGCCAGAACCTCAGGAGGTTCTCTGTGGCAATAGCAGCATTAAAGAAGATGCTTAAATTTAGCAGATGATTTTTAGTTAAAAGAGAACAATTAGAAGTTGGGGTGGGGGGAGGGGGAAAAAACCCTCACACCACAGTGTTGATTATGATACACCATGCTTTTTTCTTTCTTTTTCCTTTGGCATGGAGTCTCACTCTGTTGCCCAGGCTGGAGTACAGTGGCTCAATCTCTGCTCACTGTGACCTCTGCCTCACAGTTCAAGCAATTCTCCTGCCTCAGCCATATTGGTCAGGATGGTCTAGGTCTCCTGACCTCGTGATCCACCCACCTCGGCCTCCCAAAGTGCTGGGATTACAGGCGTGAGCCACTGCGCCCAGCCAGCCGGCTGCTTTTTATCGGGTCTCTGATGCTAGCCTGTGTCCTTTCATTTAATCTAGGCCCACACTGCAGTTACAGTAACCCCGCCAAAATACCGCCTTCATAATGTGCTCCCTCAGCTTCTGCCCACCTGCTGTGGCCCTCTGTGATCCCTCCAAGTTCGGTCACAGCTACCCTGCCCTTCTCCACACCTTTCTGTAGCTGAACTATTAGCTTCCATTGCAGGGGTCTCCTTCCTGTCTAACCTCTCGTGGCATGTTGACTTACAGCTGTGTGATTTGGTTATGTGACTCTCTCACCCGAAATGTACTCCCATTTCCCACTAAAAACCTCACCTGACAACTCATGCACAGGCTGCAACATACCAACCCCAGGACAACCTTGATGTGATGGCCTGTTTCAACTGTCTCACTTCTGAATAAGCATTGTATTTTGTGATAAATTGGGGTTTCCACCCAGCCAGAGTTGCCATCCGCTCCTCCTTTGAATGGCTGGTCCCGAATGCCATAAGCCAGTGTCAAAAAGAAGGGAAATATCTGTTTCGAAGATCAAAACCTTAGCTCCCAGCATTTCTTTGACTACACAGACAACTCCAGGGGGCGTTCTAGTGTTAAAACCTGGGTCATGAGTAGCGGGAGGACAGTAACACCAAGAAGCTCCCCACAGGTAGTCAAGTTGCCTGAGCAACCATAAAGCCATTCCCCGGACTCTGGATAACAAACCCAGCCCTGGCCCCTCTCTGAGTATGAGGTCCTTCAGCCTCTCAGACTTTGTATCATCCAATCACATGGATTGCAGTTCATTTCATCTGGGTAGGAACCAAAATCTGTGCTTCAGAAAACCTTTTCCCATTTTGTATCCAGAGGCACAAGGACCTTCTCAGTTGGTCTTCAAGCAGACCCTTTGGATTTCTGGTTTAAATGGTTGTTTGCAGAGCTCTTCCTGCCACTGCTTGCTTTCTGTCCCTGCTGCTGTGTCCTCTGGTGGGCTGGTACTCTTTCCCCGCCCCTCAAAATCCACAGTTTGTCTCTTCAGCCCTTTTATCTGAATCTCCAACTCTGCCATTTTTACCTTTACTTCAGTACAAAATGAGTTTTTTCGACTCTTTGCAGCTTCACTCCTGGCTTCATGGGCATACTTTTGTTCATTCTAGAAGTTTGGAATGGGGAGAATTAGAGATAATACATCCACATATGAATGCTTTTGGACGCTCCCAGTGTTTTTCTTTAAAAGGGAGTTAGCTTTTTTTCTTTTTTTTCTTTTTTGAGACAGAGTCTCGCTATGTCACCCAGGCTGGAGTGCAGTGGCACAATCTCGGCTCACTGCAACCTCTGCCTCGCGGGTTCAAGCGATTCTCTTGCCTTAGCCTCCTGAGTAGCTGGGAGTGGCCTGTCACCACACCCAGCTAATTTTTGTATATTTAGTAGAGACAGAGTTTCACCGTGTTGGCCAGGCTGGTCTTGAACTCCTGACCTCAAGTGATCCGCCTGCCTCAGTCTCCCATAGTGCTGGGATTACAGGTATGAGCCACTATGCCTGGCTGGGAGTTAGCATTTTATTTTTTATATTTCTTTATTATTATTATTATTATTATTATTGTTATTATTATTTTTGAGACGGAGTCTCGCTCTATCGCCCAGACTGGAGTGCAATGGCGCGATCTCGGCTTATGGCACTCTGCCTCCCGGGTTCACACGATTCTCCTGCCTCAGCCTCCTGAGTAGCTGGGACTACAGGCGCCCGCCACCATGCCCGGCTAATTTTTTGTATTTTTTAGTAGAGAACAGGGTTTCACCGTGGTCTTGATCTCCTGACCTCGTGATCCACCTGCCTCGTGCCTCCCAAAGTGCTAGGATTATAGGCGTGAGCTACCACGCCCGGCCTTTATATTTATTTTTTTGAGATGGAGTCTTGCTCTGTTGCCTAGGCTGAAGTGGTAGAGTGCAGTGGCACCATCTTGCCTCACTGAAACCTCTGCCTCCCAGGTTCAAGCGATTCTCCTGCCTCAGCCTCTTGAGTAACTGGGACTACAGGCACATGCCGCCATGCCTGGCTAATTTTTGTATTTTTAGTAGAGATTGGGTTTCACTATGTTGGTCAGGGTTGTCTCGAACTCCTGACCTCGTGATCCGCCTGCCTCGGCCTCCCAAAGTGCTGGGATTACAGGCATGAGCCGCGAGAGTTAGCATTTTAGAGTTAACACCTCATTGGAGAGGAGAATAGTATTTCCTTGTAGGAGTACTGTCATTTCTATTCAGTTTTTAAATTTTTTTTCATGCACTTGCTCATTCATTGATGCACTCATTCGTCCATGCACTAAAGACACTTTGGGACCTCCACTCTTCCAGGCCCTGGGTCAAGGATGTTCAAAGTTAGTGTGTCTGGAGAGCCCTGTTCTCGGCTGCCTTCCTCACTGTGAATCCACGGCACTTCTTGACTTTCTTGGTGTATTTGTTTTTGAAGTCCAAGGAACTGAAAAGTGCGTATATCAAAAGGAGTTTTCTGGCCGGGCGCGGTGGCTCACGCCTGTAATCCCAGCACTTTGGGAGCCCGAGGCGGGCAGATCACGAGGTCTAGAGCTCGAGACCATCGTGGCCAACATGGTGAAACCCCGTCTCTACTAAAAATACAAAAATTAGCTGGGAGTGGTGGTGCGCGCCTGTAGTCCCAGCTACTTGGGAGGCTGAGGCAGGAGAATCGCTTGAACCTGGGAGGTGGAGGTTGCAGTGAGCTGAGATTGCGCCATTGCACTCCAGCTTGGTGACAGAGCGAGGCTCTGTCTCAAACAAAAAATAAAAGAAGTGCTTCCCAGGTGATTCCACTGTGCAGCCAGGGTTGAGAACCACTCAGTTAACATCATAAACTTTGTAGGTGAATGCAGTTTACGCAGCAACGCAAGGAGGCAGGATCTGCCACCACCCCTTGCTTTGTCTGTAGGGTGGAAGTTGGGGCATTGATCGTGTCCTGCCCACCGCGGCCCACAGGCTAGTGCTCTGTACATAACAGATGTGGAATACTCAGGTCCCAACTGACTCTCCTCACTTCATGTCTATTTCCTGATATTCTCACAGCTCTGTGAAGTGGGGATAACAACACCCACACATCTCAGAGCTGTGAGCAATCTGTGCACTTAGAGATCACGTTGGATCAGTGACGTGGCTCAGGGAAAGCCGGTTTCTTCTGTGTCCCCATTGTCCTTTATGTAGCGTTTTTCACTTGGAAAGGTCTCACCCGATGCATCATTGTTGCTCTTGTGTTTAAAGGGGCTTCCCCACAGTTGAGTCTTGCTTTGCTGACTTGGTCATTCACCAAGACCCTTCTTTCTTTGAAAAATACTCTTGATCATGTATGACATTTACAGTCCTCATGTTTTGGGATAAAGTGTCGTGTTACAGAATTGGGTGTTGATTGATCTGGTGTTGCACTGAATTGTTCATTCTTTAACAAATTCATCCAAAATTTAGTAAGTGTCTTCCATATTCAGACATTATTCTGTGCTGCATCCCTTCTTTCTCAATGCCTTTACATGGACAGGTCACAGGAGCCTTTTCTGTGGGATTAACTGGGCTACCCCCTTCTCCCCTGATACAACCTGCTGATCTCCTCTTGTACCTTCTCATGTCTGGTGAATCCAGGGTCTGGTTATCTTTATTCACCTACTGCTCCGGTCCTCTTCTGCTTATTGATTGATTGATTGATTGATTGAGATGAAGTCTCACTGTGTTGCCCAGGCTCGAGTGCAGAGGCGCTATCTCAGCTCACTGCAACCTCCGCCTCCCGGGTTCAAGTCGTTCTCCCACCTCAGCCTCCCAAGTAACTGGATTACAAGCACCAGCCATCATGCCCAGCTAATTTTTGTATTTTTGTAGAGATGGGGTTTCACCATGTTGGCCAGGCTGGTCTTGAGAATCCTGACCTCAGGTGATCCACCTGCCTTGGCCTCCCAGGGTGCTGGGCTTACAGGTGTGAGCCACCGTGCCTGGCCTGCTCTTGTCTTTAATTAATAATTCATTATGCACTTGCTTTTCTGGCCTCCTTCAGAAGTTTTCCTCAATATTTGGCTTGTTATTTCTCTTCCACCCAACAAAACAAGAGCCATTTTCCTTTCCATGTCCCTGTCACACACAGACACACATGCACACACACACCCCTTACACATCTGCCTATATTGACTTACAGACGAGCTGCTTACCTGGCTTCCCTGCTACAGGCACTTGGAGAGGTATCACACTGACCCCAACCGAGCAGAGCCAGAACCTGGACCTGGGCCTGTCTGCAGGGTGAAGCAGGTTCTTCTGGAAGGGCCAGTCCAGCTGCAAGTGTGGGATGAAGTCTAACGTAGCATGTAATGTAACTGTTTTCCAAGAGCCCGGAAAGCTGTTGGCATTGGAAGTTCCCCCTGAGTTAATGGACGGTGAGGTTGACCGTGTCATCCCATCCCTGTTGAATTGCTTCAGTGGCATCTCATTCTCTGTTGAGTGGGACTTCCAAGGCCCTCTGTGATCCAAGGCCATCTCATTCTCTATTGAGTGGGACTTCCAAGGCTCTGCTCAGACCTCTCCATAGCCTCTTCTCTTACTGCTAACCACATCTTGACCATTCTGTGATAGCTGTAGTTCCATCACGTGATATTTATTTCACCTATGGCACTCTGACTTATTCCAGCCCACCCTGTCATCCTTCTTATTGTTTCCGTAGTGATTTCTCTGTACATCTGACCAGTACATCATTTTGCACCTATTTGTTAACTTGCCTGTCTCTCCTTAAGGGCCGAGAGGTTTGCCTACATTTGCTGTGCCTAGCACAGTGCTTGACATACGGAGTAGATTCTGTAAATATTTGTTGAATAAACAAATTCCAATACAGACAAGCAATGGAAATCTATTAATAGTAGGTATTGGCTGGACGCGGTGGCTCACGTCTGTAAGCCCAGTACTTTGGTAGGCCGAGGTGGGTGGACCATGAGGTCAGGAGTTCAAGACCAGCCTGGCCAACATGATGAAACCCCGTCTCTAATAAAAATACAAAAATTAGCCAGGTGTGGGGGCGGTCGCCTGTAATCCCAGCTACTCAGGAGGCTGAGGCAGAGAATTACTTGAATCCAGGAGACGGAGGTTGCAGTGAGCTGACATTGTGCCACTGCACTCCAGCTTGGGCAACAGAGTGAGACTCTGTCTCAAAAAAAAAAATGGTGGGTATTATTTAGAGATCAGACAGACGGGCAGAGGGGGTTAGGGAAGTCACTAGTGAGGAAGCAGAGCGAAGATCTCCTGGGGAAGGGCAGGGGCTGGCTCCAGAAGGCTAGGAGACCTCAGTCACCCAGGCAGGATTTTTTTTTTTTTTTTAGACTGAGTCTTACTCTGTCACCCAGGGTGAAGTGCAGTGGCACAATCTCGGCTCAATGTAACCTCCGCCTCCTGGGTTTAAGCGATTCTTCTGCCTCAGCCTCCTGAGTAGCTGGGACTATAGGCACCCACCACCATGCCTGGCTAATTTTTTTTTGTATTTTTAGTAGAGATGGGGTTTCACCATGTTGGCCAGACTGGTCTCGAACTCCTGACCTCAGGTGATCCACCACCCATCTATCTTGGCCTCCCAAGGTGCTGGGATTACAGGCATGAGCCACCACACCCGGCCTAAGGCAGGATTTAAAGACAGGGAACAAGGAAGAATCCAGGTAAGTAGACTAAGAAAGAGAATGGACAGACCTTTTTGGAACAAAGGCCTCCGCTCACTTTTTTTTTTTTTTTGACATGGAGTCTTGCTGTGTCCCCCAGGCCGGAGTGGAGTGATGTGATCTCAGCTCACTGCAAGCTCCGCCTCCCGGGTTCACGCCATTCTCCTGCCTCAGCCTCCCCAGTAGCTGGGACTATAGGCGCACCTGCCATCACGCCCGGCTAATGTTTTGTATTTTTAGTAGAGACAAGGTTTCACCATGTTAGCCAGGATGGTCTCGATCTCTTGACCTCGTGATCCGCCGGCCTCAGCCTCCCAAAGTGCTGGGATTATAGGCGTGAGCCACCATGCCCAGCCCCAGGGAGGATTTAAAGACAGGGAACAACGAAGAATCCAGGTAACCAGACTAAGAAAGATAATGGATAGACCTTTTGGAACCAAGGCCTCCGCTCACATTACTTTTTTTAATTTTTTTATTTTTGAGACGAATCTTGCTCTGTCGTCCTGGCTGGAGTGCAGTGGCGCGATCTCGGCTCACTGTAAGCTCTGCCTCCCGGGTTCACACCATTCTCCTGCCTCAGTCTCCCGAGTAGGTGGGACTGCAGGCGCTGCCACCACACCACGCCTGGCTAATTTTTTGTATTTTTAGTTCACTGTGTTAGCCAGGATGGTCTCAATCTCCTGACCTCGTGAGCCACCCGCCTCGGCCTCCCAAAGTTGGTGGGATTACAGGTGTGAGCCACCGCGCCCGGCAGGCCTCCACTCACGTTCTAAACCAGAATACAAGGACAGGAACAAGCCAGCAGCAAAAACAAGAAATTCAGACACTCTCTGCACTCATGAGTGGAGTCCAAGGACGGATACAGAAAATCCGCAGAATCTAGTAACTAGGAGGACCCTGATGACTTGAAGACATTATTAATCTGGCATATGCTCATCTACCCAGTCAATGCAAAGAAGAAATGGATTACGTTTTTTGTAAAAGGATTATTTCCTGATGATGAATAGTCCATCCAACCTTAAAACTTACATTATACTCAGCAAAAACTTATTTCTAGCTTTAGAGCCATTGATCTCTAGGCATCTCAAGCCAGAAATTCATTAACACACATAGTCAACAAGTGTTTGTTGAGTTTCTAGAAAGTGCCATCCATACAGGTGACTTGTACTCCAGACCCCAGTGCTAGGAGTCAGGCATGAGAAATGTCCAAGGATCCTACTAAGTGTGTTCCTCAGTTCAGATTTGGGAGAGATTTCTGTTTCTGAAAGTCTCAGACACCTATGTCACTCCACTTATTGCTGTGGGATAGTATCGTTGTCAACAGAAGGAGAATTGTAATTTAACACTACATTTCTACTGCATGAAGTCTCCTTTTAAAGAATATGACTTCAGAATACTCTAGTGTGACTGCAGACTTGTTGGCATTTGCTGAGTAGTGATATTTTTACATATAGCAGAGGGTTTTTTTGGTTTGTTTTGTTTTTAAGGGAACTGTACCTGTATGGCTTTAAAGGGCTTTCTTTAAGTGAGAGACCAGCTGTTCTCCTCCAGGCGTTCTGGGCTGAGACTTCCTCCTCCTCTCAGGCACAGAACAAAGGCATACAGAATTTATGTCACAGATGGATTTTTGTTTGATAAAAATCACTTATTACTAAACAAAAGAGTGACCCGTTCTCTTTAGAAATATGAGCATAACACCTCCTGTGTCTTTGGTGGTTTCTAACTTTGTTGGTTTACTTTTAATTATTGTAATTGACTGAATTTAAATGGGCCGTGTTTTAGATGATCCAACTTTCCTTGAAAGTGTGTATATAAGATGGTTTTCAGTAAAGGGAATAATTTCAAATTCAGTATTAAAATAAATCCAAAATAATATTTGAAGGAATTGGCTACTAAAGAAAATAACGCCTTGGTCACTGTTGTAGGGGCCAGATGTGGTGGTCACACCTGTAGTCTCAGTACTTTGAGAGGCTGAGGCAGGAAGATCCCTTGAGCCCAGGAGTTCGAGACCAGCCTGGGCAACACAGGGAGACCTCCCTCTCTACAAAAAAAATAGAAATTAGCCAGGTGTGGTGGCATGCATCTGTAGCCCCAGCTACTTAGGATGCTGAAGCAGGAGGATCGCTTGAGCCCAAGAGGTCGAGGCTGCAGTAAGCTTTAATTGTACCACTGTGTTCTAGCCTAGGCCACCGGGTGAGACCCCATCTCTAAAAATAAAAATATGAATAAAATGTGTATCTACTTTTTGGTGGATAATGGAAGCCACTGAAGAAGATGGAGGTACACGAGGATTGGCTAGTCCCTACAATCTGACCGCATAGACACTCACAAGAGAATAACTTGAATCCTACATGCACTTCTGCAGTACACATTATGAACATACCTTTGCTAGGAAGCAGACTCATAACAAGTCCTAGGCCGTATCCTCAAACTGATAGTCACAGCTTTCTGTCTTTTTGGGTATTCAGACTTCTCTCTTGGCGATTGGCAGCCTTCCTAATGCTGGATACAGGATATTTCAGGGATCAAGTGTCAGGTTCCATCACATTCCTTCAGGATGTGAGTTTCAGGCCACATAAATTTATACCATGTACTTACAAGAGTGAGGAGAATCTCTGTTTTGACAGTTTTATTGTAGTGTAATTTATATACCCTAAACTTCTGCCAGTTGTAAGTGTACAGTTTAATGTTTTTTAGTAAATTTAGAGCGTTATACGATAGTCACCACAACCTGGTGTGAACCTTTCCAAGACTACAGAAAGTGTCATCATTTTCATTTGTGCCCAGCCACTGCTCCCACCCTTACTCTGGCATCCAGCAATCATCTGCTTTCTGTACTTTGAGAAGTGCCTTTTCTGGAAATTTCATATACATGGAGTCATACAAAATGGAGTCTTTTTTTTTTTTTTTTTTGAGATGGAGTCCAGTTCTGTCGCTCAAGCTGGAGTGCAGTGGCAATCTTGGCTCACTGCAACCTCCGCCTCCCGGGTTCAAGTCATTCTCCTGCCTCAGCCTCCTGAGTAGCTGGGATTACAGGTGCCTGCCACCACGCCTGGCTAATTGTTGTATTTTTAGTAGAGGCAGGGTTTCACCATGTTGGACAGGGTAGCCTAGAACTCCTGGCCTCAAGTGATCTGTCTGTCTCGGCCTCCCCAGAGTGCTGGGATTACAGGCGTGAGCCACCTTACCCAACCAAAATGGAGTCTTGTGTGTGTACTTCTTTCACTTAGTATTTTCTGGGTTCATCTATGTTGTAGTGTATGTCAATAATGTTCTACTTTATTGCTGAATGGTATTCCAGTGTGTAGATACACCACATTTTATTTATTCAGTCATCAGTTGATGGACGTTTTGATTGTTTTCAGGTTTTTGGAGCTGTCAAGAAGAATGCTGTAAACATTCACATACAATTCTTTGTTTAGATATAGGTTTCATTTCTCTTGAGTGAAATTCCTAGGATTAGAATATGGATCATGTGGTAAGTTTGTGTTTTTCAAAGTATCTGCACAGTTTTACAGCCCTACCGGCAGTGTCTGAGTGCTCCGGCTTCCCCACATTCTTACCAACACTATGCGTTACCTTTCTGATGATAGACGTACAATGGGTTCAGAGTGGTATCTTGTGGTATTATTTTGTACTTCTCCAATGATTAATGACATTGAGCATCTTTTCAAATGCTTCTTAGCCATTCATATATCTTTGGTGAAATGGCTATTCAAGTATTTTGACCAATTTTT